GATTTTAGCAAATGGCTGCAATATAACAAAGAGTGAAAAATTGAAGGGGGTCTGAATACTTTCCGTACCCACTTTATATATATATATATATATATATATATATATAGCATTTATATTTTATTCTTTTTATTTGTTTTTGTTAGATTAAAATAAATTGAAAAGCAATGGTGAAATTTAAGATCAAAATGTTTAAAAAATGTAAAATGTTTAATTTACCAGTTAATTACTGCAAAAGAACTTAGCTTTTACAAAATATAGGGAAAAATATTGAAATATTAACCTAAAAGTTGTACTTGTTGTAGTTATACCTGTTATTGTTGTACCTGTTGTACCAGTTGTACCTGCACTCACTCACATCATTAACACATCCCTTCACACTGGTGTTTTTCCCTCAGCATTTAGACAAACTCACACGGTTAACCACCAGATCCTCCTGTTAACCCTATTGGCAAAGGGCATCTCAGGAACCGCACTCCAGTGGTTTGAGTTTTATCTCTCAGATAGGTCCTTCAAGGTAACTTGGAGAGGTGAGGTGGTCAAGTCGCAACATCTAGCTACTGTGGTGCCTCAGGGCTCAGTTCTCGGACCACTTCTCTTCTCTGTTTACATGGCATCACTAGGTTCTGTCATTCAGAAACATGGCTTTTCATATCACTGCTATGCTGATGACACTCAACTCTACCTCTCATTCCATCCTGATGATCCGACGATAGCTGCTCGCATCTCAGCATGTCTAACAGACATTTCTTGCTGGATGAAGGACCATCACCTTCAACTCAACCTTGCCAAGATAGAACTGCTTGTGTTTCCATCAAACCCATAGCTTCATCAAAATGTCACCATCCAGTTACGCACATCAACCATAACTCCTTCAAAAACAGCAAGAAACCTTGGAGTTATGATCGATGATCAGCTGACTTTCTCAGACCACATTGCTAAAACTGCCCAGTCCTGCAGATTTGCTTTATTCAACATCAAGAAGATCAGGCCCTTTCTTTCAGAACATGCTTCACAACTCCTCGTTCAAGCTCTTGCTTGATTAATTTTTAATGAGCCAAAAAGAATGCACGTCACACCTCCGTTTATCAATTTGCACTGGCTACCAATAGCTGCTCGCATTAAAATTCAAGGTATTAACAAAACCACCACTGGCTCTGCAGCCCTTTACCTAAATTCATTACTTCAGACTTATGTACCCTCTAGAAGCTTGCGTTCTGCAAGTGA